TTATTACGCAGCGGCGACGTCCCCGTCGTGTGCAGGCTGCTGCTGCGGCCCGTGCCGCCGTCGCCACCGTCCAGCGACCCGGGCTTGGCCGCGGCGGCGGCGGCGGCGCGGCGGCGCCGCCGCCGGCGCAGCAGCAGCAGCGCGCCGCCCAGCGCGCCCAGCGCCGCCAGGGGGAGCACCACCGCCAGGGCCACGATCGCGGCCGTGGAGGCGCCGCCGCCACCGCCGCCGTCGTCCCCGGTCGGCGAGGGCGGGGGACCCGCCGCGTCCGGGCTCGCATCTGCGGGCGCGCTCGTCCCCGTGCCGCCCAGCTGCACCTGCTGCACCGCGTCCTGCCCCGGGTTGCAGTCCCCCTGCACCCCAAACATGCTCTCCTTGTCGCCCTCCCCTGCCAGCAGCATGCGCCAGTCACTGTCGTTCAGGGGGAGCGCCTCTAGCGGCGGGGTCGTCGTGTCCAGCAGCCCGTCCGTCGTGTAGATGGTGGAGAAGCAGGCCGTGCCGGTGAGGTTGGCGCCCACGCTCATGCCGCTCGAGGGCCGGGTCAGCAAGATCTGGGGTTTGTTTGTGTCGTCGGATGCGGTGAGGCACAAGGTGGGGAAAGCATCAGGCAAGGCGGAACATGCAGGGGTCTGGGCTCCTCCCACACTGCTCAAAAAGGCTCTCAATGCCCACAGCGGCCCTAGATCTTCCAACCAACCACACAAGCACCTTCCTCTCCCCCAAAATCCACCCCATCCACACCTCCTTCCCGTCGCCAGGACGCTGCACCCGTGTCTCCCCCGCCAGCCCCATGTCCAGTCCCGGCAGCGCCAGCGTCTGGTTCTCCGTAGAGTTGGACGTGAACCAGGCAGGGCAGTGCCCCCCCGGGGTCAAGCTGGACAGCAGCACGCCCAGCGTCCCTTCCAGGAACGAGGCGTTCAGGCCTGCGGCGGGAGGAACAACGGCGTGGGTGAGTCACTGTATCAGAGCGGGTGAGCGAGCGGCGCCCAGGACGCAGGGTCGTGCCAACAGCAGATGCACAAGACGGGCAGGGCACGCCTCCCGCCTCCTGTGTCAATGGCGAGCGGCAGGGCAGCAACCCTCACACATTGTGTGAGCTTCAGATCCGGGCCGTCCAGCGCCAGCGTGCGCCTGCGGTGGCCACCCCCCCAATTTCCAGCACCTGAAGTCACCCCAACCCACCGGCGGCTTGGGGCAGCCCTTCCAGGACGTCGGTCCCGGGGACAAAGAACGTCGCTCTGCTGGAGGTGTCCAGCGCGGCGCTCATCCTCATCCTCAGCGCCTCCTCGGCGCCCAGCTCCAGCGCCACCGCCGCCACATCCTCCCAGGCCTCCGTCAGCGGCGCCGAGGAGGATGGCAGCAGGACGCGCATGGCGTTTGTCCAGCACAGGCTCTGCGCAGGTGGGAAGAAGCCGTGGCGGGCGATGAAATGGAGGTTGGGACGATGAGTGCAGCGGCATATGGAGCAGACTGCAACTGACAGCTGCAGCTGCTGATGTCTCGGTGCCTAAGGCCCCTTCCCTCCCCTAAGTCCCGCTCCCCCACATGCTCTCCGACCCACCTCCAGGCCCTCCACGGAGCTCAGGTTGGTGGGAGGGATGGGGGGCGCCGGGATGGGGCGGTCCAGCACCACCAGAGTCGAGGAGTTGCAGAAGGAGTAGGTGTCCAGGTAGGTCGCGCCCTGGGTCGCATTGTACGAGGTGGGCTGGGCGCCGTCGCTGGCGTAAAACACCTTGTACGGGTCGGCCTGGGCATTTGTATGGGAAGGCGGGGGATGATACTGGCGTGTGACGCAGAGTACACCCTCAAAGTCCTGCTGTGCCTGTCCACCTGCTCCATTGGCCTCTCCTGCAACCCCAAAACAACCGGCACAGCGCCCTGCCCTGGGGCCTGCCAGCCCTCTCACACCCCGCCATCCCTCCGACCCACTGACCCAGCCACCCGCCCCCTTTGCTCACCCGATCGCCGCTCCAGTACACCTGCACCGTCCATGGCAGGGTGCCGTTGGTGGACCCAGAGATGGGCGTGAGCAGGGTCTGCCGTGCCGCGGGCTGCTGGGCCCAGGACCCGGAGTTTGGCAGGATGGGGCCCGAGGTGTCGGTGGAGATGTGGAAGAGCAGGTCACCGATGCCCTCGGGGCGGGTCAGGAAAGAGCGCCATGCCATCCCCTGACCCAGCGAGCATGCTGCATCGCCGTCTGCGAGGAGGCAGACTGGGGGATGGGGTCTGCGCACGCCGTTGAGGTTT